ACCCCCCCCCCCCCCCCCGACCAAACCCTCCCCATTGGCCATGCCTCATAAACCCATAGTTTTCCCACATAAACCAAAGGACACTAGACCCTCACGCCACATTTCATCAATCTCCAAAACCTCATCTACTATACCACTTCTTATTCTTGATCCACACTTTGTGGCAACATCACCAGAAAAACATGTCATCGTCATTAAGAACAAAAAAACTTTCCTCGTCCCAGAAACAAAATTCTCCACTGTTGCCTTTCACCTGTCCCCAAAGATTATCCTTGTGGATTTAGAGCTTGGCACTCTTTTTCAAGAAAAACAGAATGAAACAGAGGTACAAGAGGTCACCCCAATATCGGCGACACTCACACCAACAATGGTCATCCAAATCAGGGCACCGTGGCTAAAAAAAACCACATGTGCATCATGGTTATCCCATCCGGGAAAAAGAAGCCCACTACAGCCAAGAAACAGAGTAGACTAACTAGAGATTGTTGGCCACCTTTCAAACATCAATTATGAGAAATCAAGCCCGTCACAATTGGGTGGTCAATACCTCTTACGATTATTATCTCTTGGAATGCTAAAGGTTTGGGAGATTGGCAAAAGAGAGCCCTTATCAAGCCCTTCCTCCTCAAATACAACCCCACTGTCGTTTTTCTTCAAGAAACAAAATTGAATTATGTAGATAGTTGGATAGTTAAATCCCTTTGGAGTGCTAGACATTGGTTGGTCAGCTCTAGATGCCTCAGAAACATGGGGGGATCTTAATTGGAATGACCCAACTCAGATCATTTTCGAATCACCAAAGGTCTATACACCTTAACCACACATTAAATTGGCCGATAGTTACAGTTTTTGGATAACAGGGATCTATGGCCATTGCAGATATCAACCTCTCTTCTGGCAGGAATTACAAGACCTATCTGGCCTATGCATAGAGAATTGGCTTTTGGCTAGTGACTTCAATATCTCTCGATGGGCACATTCAAAATCTAGTGGAAAAGACACAAGAGGCATGAGGCATTTCAACAATTTCATAAGAGAATCTGAACTCATTGACCTTCCCCTCTCTGTAATGGTCTTTATACATGGTCAAACAACAAATCTCCACCCACCTTGACACTCATCGATAGATTTCTAGCTGCAGAAGGCCTACTTGGAAACTTCAGTAACACCGGTGTTCGAAAACTGAATAGACCTACATCCGATCACTATCCCATTCTACTCTCCATGGGTTGCTATTAATGGGGCCCCTCACCCTTTCACTTTGAGAATATGCGACTAAACCATTCTGAACTTTTGCTAATGTAGAATACTGGTGGAAGAACATGCCACTTCGTGGATGGTTGGGGCACGGTTTCATCAACAAACTGAAAAGACTAAAAGACGTCTTAAAGAAATGGAACAAGGAGGTTTTTGGTTGTATTTCCACAAAACGAAACCAACTACTTACTAAAATTGCTCTCCTTGATGAAACGGAGGAAACGAGCTCTATTACATTGATTCAACACACACACAAAAGCTCATCAAAGCATAACTTATTTCGTTAGCAGCAAAGGAAGAGCAACCATGAAGACAAAAAATGTAAAAAACGATGGCTAGAGGAGGGTGAAATAAACCCAAATTTTTCCACCGTATCATGGTCACAAAGAAATGAAAAAGTATCATCATGGAAATTCTATCAATACAAGGCTGAAGCTTAGTAAAGGAAGATGAAATTGTCTTAGAATTTGTGTCCTTTTTCACGTCCTTATATATAAAGGATGATGCCCTCTTCAAATTTCCCCATGATCTTGATTGAAGTCCTATTGATCAACAACAAGCTGCCTTCCTCGAGATTCCTCGAGATTGCTTTCCTTGAAGAACAAAGCTCTCCTCGCAAAATGGATATGGACATATCATCATGAAGAAAATGCCTTGTGGAAAAAGCTTATAAAGACTAAATATACTCCTACATCACACAAAAATCCACCCCCTCCATCTTCTGCAAAGGAGCCATGGAAGTACATAAAGAAACATCAAAACCTCATCACCAACCACCTCATCACCAACCAAATTCGCCATAGGGGTGGGTGATGGAGGAAGCACCTCTTTTTGGACCAACCCATGGATTGAAGACATCACACTAGTCCAGCGGTATCCACTTTTGAAAACTCTCTCATAGCAAATAAGCCAAGATCAAAGAAACGTGGAATGTTGTCAACAAATTATGGTACTTGAACCTTGGTAGGAACCGAAAAGATAATGAAGCAACAAAATGGGACAAATTAAGTCTTTCCCTTGCCCTAATGGTATTGTCAAATGAAGCATACTCATTGACTTAGCTCCCCAGTGCTGACAAGGTCTTCTCTACAAAATCTTTGATGATGGACATAAGAGAAAAAATATAAGCAATAAATCTCACCCTAGCAAAGACAATTTGGAAAGGACATCACCCTAAAAAGGTGAGGTTTTTCTTTTGGGAAATAGCACATAAAGCCATTAGCACAAGTGAAAATCTTAAAAAAAAAAATAAAAAAAAAAGTCCTACATGACCCTATTTCAAAATTGGTGTCTATGTAAGAAAGGAAACGAATCAAAAAACCATTTATTTATGCAATGTACATACGCTTAGAATTTCTAGACAACGATTCTCAATATATTCAGATGACATCTCACATTTCCTAGGGAAGTAAAGGATCTATTGGACATGGTCTTAAGGTACAACCTCTTCAAGAATGCAAAAGCCCTATTAGGGAAAAACTCCATCATGACTTTCTTTTGGAACCTATAGAAAGAAATAAACCAAAAAATATTCGCAGAAAAGACAAAGACTTGTACAGAACTCTCTGACAATGTTGTTTACCAAGCTATATCTTGGTGTAAATTGTCCAATATTTTTATTTCCTATAGTTCTACCTCCCTCACGGTTAATTGGGAAGGTCTTCTATAACATCATGGATATTGCATCCCTTTTGTAAATTTCAATCATCAATGAAATTGTCTCTTATTAAAAAAAATAATAAAAAATAAAATAAAATCACTAGTGAAAACCTTTAAAGTCCAATTGCCTTGGATTTTTTTTCCCCTCAATTTGTGAAATGCTATATAAGGGATGGGCCTCATACTTTTTTTTTTTTGGAGGATTGGTGGGTAAGAGATGAGCACCTTTGTGCACTGTCTCTGCGTCTTTATCACTTGTCTGTTAAGAGGGGGTCTCCATTTGCTTCTATTTTGACTCCCTCTCAATCATCTCCCTCGTCTTGGTCGGTTCCTCACTAACTGTGAGTCTTTGGAGGTGGTGGACCTTATTTCTATAATTTCCAATCAGAGGGTTTGTCAAGGGAGAAAGAATTTGCAAGCTTGGGATCTTAGTCTCTTCTCGTTCATTTTTCTCCATCCTTTGTTCCCTTTCTCCCTTTCAAGAGACCACAGTGTTCTCTTCTCTTAAGAAAGCTTAAATTCCCAAAGAAAGTCAAGTTTTTTATATGGTAGAGTCAACACCCACGATCGTATCCTGTGGCATTGCTTTTTGGTTTTGCAACCGCAATTGCATGTTCTTTGTAGACAACAGGAGGAAGATCTTGATCATCTTTTTTTGGAGTTTTCAGTTTGCTTCTCTCAGGAGTCAGTTTTTTAGTTTGTTTGGGATTGTTGGGGTGTGTAATAGGAAATGTTTGTCTTTGTTTGAGTAGATTGTGATGAACTCCTCATTTCGTGATGAGAAGAGGGTCGTGTGGCAGGCTTGTTGTCATGATATGTTGTGGTGAGTGTAAATGGAGAGAAATAGTAGAATTTTCATATGGATGAAAAGTAAATGAGTAAATGAGTTTAAATGGAATGGTTGCATCATACAAAACCTTAAGTCGTTCGTGTGCTTCTCCAACAGTTCTTCCATCCCTTTTTTTCCTCCAGCTATGACCATCTTTACGGAAGAAACGGAGTACTCTCTTGTTAAAAAGAAACAAAGAACCACCTGTTGCAAATTCACTGTTCAATAATAATCTAAACGGCATACCACAACTGTCTAGCATGATAAGCCATCAAAAAGTTATCTCAAAGGAAAAATATAATGAATAAGGTTACTTACTAGTTGGCTGTTTAGGGGCCTCCTCTGTCAGCTGATATTTTTCATAATTCTGTAAAATAAAGAACACCTCTGGAGGCTTCAGCCAGCGGGTTTGTGCTTCTCGATAAAGATCATTAATATCATATCCTGAGATAAAAGAAAATAATCTTCTGTAATTATTTTGAGAATGAAAAGCATTGAATAGGATCGAGACCTACGTAAGAAACTGGAGTTCAACGGACCAAAGTTTCCAAATATTTAATTATTCTACGCAAGAAATTATATATATATATGTATAATCTAAGACTTAATGAAGCTGCTGAAAGTAAATAATCTTAAATTAATTTAAAGAACAACACCGTTTATTTCAAGTTTCTTAAAATCTCTGAGTTCAATTCAAATACAATCCAATTCCAGAAGCTTGGGGGTTGAATTTTGATAAACACGTGACTAAAACAACTCACAACCGCCTCTTCTCTGCATCAACTCGAAACAACTCAGCTTATGTTACTAGAACCGAAATATGACCAACTCTTCATCAAACACGAGCCAATCATCCCAAATAACCATCCACCATACACTTTTTGAATTTCAACGACAAACACTTCTGATACTAGTTAAAATCAGATTCCGCGAAACCTACTCAATCAATTAACTATAAATTCATGTCGACATCAGGAAATATGAGTTCAATTAGAAAAACAGGAGAAACTATTGACTCCATTACTTACCGGCGTTCATCGTAAACAGATCGAGTCAGCGCTTTCAGCAAGAAGAAGTGGAAAAGAACATTTCAAATTCCTCCCGAAATAAGAGGTTCAACTTGCAGCTTTGCAGCAGGAACACAACTGTTCCGAGTAGCAAAACTGCAGACGGAGAGAGGAGATCGTAGAGGAAACTTCAACTTCGCCGGAAGTTCGACGCCGGGAAACTTTGCCGGACCACCGACAAGCTGAAATCGGAGCTGGAGAATTGACTAGCACATTCCACAGATGGTGCTTCCGTCTCCCCGTGCACTTCGGTTTCTTTTACACGGAAAAATCGAAAAGTGGAAGTGGACACGAAGCCTAGAATTAGAATAATAAAATTGGATTTTTATTGGTCGCTACCGTTACATTTGTTCAGAATACCGTTCTCACATTTTCTCTGTAATTCCAATATAAAATTAATTTTAAATCCGATTTTAATCCCAAAACTTCTAATACTTCAAAATAATAATTATAAAAAAAATTAGACTACTTTATTCTAATTCTTTCATTTTTTTTTAAATCGTCATTACATTAATATATATATATATATATAAATTAGACTATTTTATTTTAATTCTTTCATTTTTTTTAACGTATATATAAATTAGACTATTTTATTTTTATTTTTTATTTTTTGAACGTGTATATATATATAATAATTCGATTTAAATCGTAATTATATATATATATATATATATATTTATATATATATATATTTTAGACTACTTTATTTTAATTCTTTCATTTTTTTTGAATATATATATATATATAAATATATAAATTAGACTACTTTATTTTAATTCTTTTTTTTTCTTTTTTGAACTATTAGACTAGTTTATTTTATTTTTTTATTTTTTTTAAACATTTCTATATATATAATAATTCGACTTAAATAGGGATTACATTAGAATATATATATATATTAGACTACTTTATTTTAATTCTTTCATTTTTTGAACGTTTATATATATATATATAATAATTTGACTTAAATCGTGATTACATTAATTAATTAATTAAGTATATATATACCATTTTTAGAGTTATTTGATATTTAATTATGATATTTACAAAAAGAATAATTTTAATTATTTCTTTTATTTCTGTTGATTAATGAATAAATTAAAACGTTTAAAATTATATGGACCAAATTAAAATTACGTTCGATATATTGAAGTGGTCCGATTGGGAGGGAGTTGAGAAGGACAAGATAAAAAGTCCAATATATTGGCATTATAATGGAATAATTAATTGGATAATAATAGGATGTCACCATCCTATGAATAAGCTGTGTATTTATAAAGAATGTGATCTTAGGATAAACTAAAGAAAGGAACATGTGCGTGGAAATCCACCCAAACTTCCAATTGTTTGAGACTTTTAATTTAATTTTATTTATTATTATTATTATTATTATTATATTAATTTTCCACAGATAACGATTTTCTTCTCAAATTTAGAAAAGTATTTTTGACAATGTCAAGTCAACATAGACAAAAAAAAAAAAAAAAA